TGAATCTGGCCGGGCTTGTGTGACCCCGAGGCTCCGTCACCAGGCACTGCAGCTCCTGCCTGGTTCTTGCAGCCACTCTCAGAACCCTGAGTTCCACGTAGGCAGCGTGGCCGACCGCACTGAGGCCACTGGGAAGCCCCATGGCCTTTGCAGAAAGACCACGTGGAGACACGGGAAGAGGCGTCCAGCCAGCCTCCCGTGGCTCCAGCCCCTTGCTGTCCCTTAAGCCAGTCTGACTCTGAGTGACAACTGCCCAGACAAGCCCTTCCCAAAATACTGCCGATTCCCAGATACTGTTCCCCCAGATGGCTGCTTTCCACCGTTGGGTTTTTAATAGGGAACACCCAGCCTTGGGATCCAGCCTCCGCTGTAACCTTCACAGGGGAGATTTCACATTCTTCGTTTGCCTTATTTATAAGGAACCCTGAAAGTTGGTGACTCATGACAAATGGCTTACCGTTATCTCTGCAAATTTAATTACTCAGCCCAGTGGTTTGCAAACCTGGGAGACTTTTTTTTAAAAATATAGATTCTCAAGTTCTACTCTGGACTCACCAAATCAGAGTCTCCTGGAAATGGTGAGCCAGTGGCCAGCTAACCTGTTTTACTTTCTGTATGATTATTATACTTATATTCTCTTTATGAACCCATGACATAGAGACAACTTAGGAGACGGGTCTTTGGAGAATTTCCAATGCAGGTGAGCACTAGGCAGATGGACCGGTTCCTTTGAGTAGTGAGTGCTTATTAAGGATAACACACTTGAGATGTCCTCACAAGTATATTCCACATGGCTCTGGAAACAGAATGACTGAATCTGTAACAATAAGTGAAACAGTGTTTATTGCCTCAAAAGAGACAGATAAGTTATGGCAACAGTGGGTCGCCCTGAATTTGATCCTCCTATAGAAAATAATGTTATATGACAAAGAAGAGATGTAAAAATGATTTGGGAGTGTTATTTAGAGCTGAGATCACGTGGGGAGAAAAGGAATCTAATTACACCTACTTGTGACGTTATATATTAAAATAAATTTAAATATTTATTAAAAGGGGGAAAGCCATCCATGTTAAAACTAGAAAAGGGAAAAATATATCAAGTTTTCTGCAGAGAAGAAAGTTAAAAGTCAAAATTGGGTCTTCTGGGGGTGGGGGAGTTAGGGAGAATCTGTTTTTTGCTTTTCCCAGCTTCTAGAGAATTCCTTGGCTCGTGGCCCATCTCCATGTTGAAAGCTACGCAGCACTGTGCAGCCTCCCGCTCCTCCTTTCTGCACCTCCCTCCCCACTCCTTTCTCGCTCTCCTCCCTCTCTTCCTTCCTTCCCTGCTCTGCTTCTGTATCACCTCATGCCCTGTCTCTGAGCCCCCACCTCCCTCGCAACACATTGGGTCCACCTGGATAATGTAGGGACATCTCCCCTTGACAAGATCAAGGATCATATGCAAAGTTCTTGCTATCACTCAAGGTGACATATTTACAAATATCAAAGGTTAGGACATAGACATTTTGGGGAGACCATCATTCTACCATACTCTGTACCACAGTTGTACAGAGCTATCCTGACATGGGTGGTCGTGACCAAAAGCACTGCTCCTAACCAGGTGACCCTGCCCAAGGGGGCTATCTAACAGTAGCCATTCTACTGTTCCTTGAGCCACCCTTTACAATGTGCAGCAGAGCCTGCCAAGTGGGAAGAATCCCATTTGGATCCACTTTATTTATAGAATCTTGCTTCACAGAGCCATGAGCTGTGTTGGGGCTCACCATCACAGAGTCCCCTCTACCTTTATGCCAGTATGCCAGGGGACCAGGACCAAATGATCAGCTTCCAGCGGCACTTATTCCATCTATGACAGTGCAGACTATGAAAACTAAGGGCCTTTGCTTTCTGGGAATCGTCTATAAGAACAGTCCAAGCAAATCTACAGAAAGTCACAAACTATGATCTCATAAAATTAACCCAGAGAGGATGAAAACTGTGAGCTGAGGCATCCACATCACAAACCAGGCATGATTCTAAGCTATTCCCCGGATGAAAAATGCTACTTCGTGCTGACCTAATGAGGTATCTCTTATTTTTAGCCTCCACTTTACCTGGGAAGAAAGTGAGGTGCCAGGGGTTAACAACCCCAAGTTTGCCCAGCAGGAAGTGGGGGACAGAGGAACAAACCCAGATGACCCTGATTTCCAGCCTATATTCTGCTCCACTGAGATTTCAGAAACAGTAAGTTCTCCTAAGAGACTTGATCCAGGAAATTTGGAGCAATGGAGATGTGTTTGCACGACTTGCTAGGGAAGGCCCCCAGGAAGCCCAGGCAAGTGCTGGGGGACTGTGCAGCCCTTCCTCAGCTCTCCATGCCTCTCCCCACCTCTCAGACAGCAAGAAGGAATGGAATGTCATGTGAGCCCTTTGAGAATAGCATATAAGAGATATAAATCCCTTTACCTAGAAATTTTTTAATTGATTTTATTTTTTTAAATACACAACAGCAGAATGCATTACAATTCTTATTACACATATATATCACAATTTTTCATATCTCTGTATATATAATATGTTGACACCCAATTCCTGTCTTCATACATGTATTTTGGATAATGTTGTCCATCACATTCTACCATCCTTGCTAATCCCCTGCCCCCTCCTTTTCCCTTCCACCCCAAAATGTATTTATACACATAATGTTGTAGAGGGTCCCAGTCAAAAAAGTTTTTAGAAAAAATACTGGCCAAAAATCAACCACAACAAGATATCATTTCACCTTAGATGACTGATCGATCCTCTATCACAAAAAACTCATCATACGTTAGGTTGTTATGGTTTGTTTATCACTTGTATTCCCTAAAGGGTTGTGAGCTCCCGAAGGACAAGAACATCATCCATCTTATTCTCCATTCTCCAAAAAACCAAGCACCTTGTAAGCACTCCTTCAGTGCTTGCTAAATTATCAGTGAGTATGTACTTTGGCTAAGTCCACACTCAACTCAAGTGCAAGATTTAAAAAATGCCATATAACCCCCCAAACCCACAACATGCTCCCTTAACTTAATAATCTAATTAGCATTATCCTTTTTAAATTCTTCATATTTTAAGACCTACATTATATAGAATTAAGTATGAACATTTGGAGGGTATCTATTAGTTGTCATACTTTGTGTCTTTATCCCTAAAATCACAGAAAAGGGGGAACCCTCATACACCGTTGGTGGGAATACAACTTAGCACAACTATTATGGGAAACAGTGTAGATATTCCTAAAGAAGCTAATAGAAATGCCACATGATTCAGCAATCCCACTATTGGATATTTATCTTATAAATCAGGAGTTCACTGTGGTTCCAGTTATACCCTCTGAGAAGCCCCATTTCTCTCCACCATAGTGAAAAATCAGCCTCTATCTCAGAGCAAAGCCTGTCCAAGGAAGGGACATGGCCTTTGTCCTTGGAAAAACCTACAGAGCACTCCTAGGCACATTCCCACCCTGCTAAGTTGTTTATCTACAAATAACAGGAGAGATCAGACTCAGTCAGGCTAGGTGGGGATCCATAGCAGCCCCCTAGTAGCCACCAATTAGCATGAGTCAGGAAAATACCTGGGATTCCAGATGATCCTCGCAGTAGTTTATGGTGGTTGATAACAAGTTGGGAAACCCATTCAGCATGTACACCCCTCTTGGCTTAAACCAATCAGTTCAAATGAATACCCCTTTTGTACTGACCAATCACCCCTACCCAACTTGTTCTGCCAGTGAATGTGCTAATCATGTTTTAGAGTTGTTTTATGATTTTCCCTCGGTGTGTGATGATTTGCTAAAAGAGGCTATGATGTATGTGAAGCCCTGCCCTCTCCAAAAAATGTATAAAAATGCTGCAAACCCTGGGCTCGGGCCTCTCAGCGTCACCAGTTGCTGTGTGTGTGCGAGGAGGACCGAGCTAGCTCGCAATAAACACCTCTTTGCTGCTTACATCAATCCTGGGTCTCTGGTGGTCTTTGGGGGTCCCAAATTCGAGCATAACAATAGCACATATCTCAGTTTGTTATTACACACTCGTGATTTTTTTCCCCCTAAATCCTACCTTTCCACTAGACTGTATTCTCTAAAAGGGCAGAAATGAGCCTGCATTTGCTTAGGACAGAGCCTAGCAAGTAGGTATACAACAGGTCTCAGGGCCACATATGCACACACATTCAAGAGTGGGTGAATGTAGGAACAGGTGTCAAAGAAACCGGCTTCTCATAGTGTTTAAAATTCCACCCCACCATTTTTACTAAGATCAAGGAAGACTAGACACTATAGGGTCTTTCTGATTCGTGTAACATGGCTGTGATTAATAGAGTGCGTTTAAAATTGTGTCAGCAAATTTCATTCCCTGTGACAAATACACTCCATACAATAAATGAAAAAATGCAACATTTTACCTGCTTCACGGTCGACTGTTTTTGACATTGAATGAATATTCCAGGAAGAAATAAATAACTCAAGAAGAACCTGTGACTATATCTCCGGAAGCCTTTTGCCTCCTGTCAGTGAAACTAATAGTGCACACAACCTATGTAAATGTAAATTTAAATAAAACATTTCCCCTGCCTCCCCGCTCCTTTGTTCCTTGCCCTCGGGAGGGTGCAGGACTAAATGTACTTTCTCCAACACCGGCTATAGGTACTGGGGGGAGGGGGCTGGGTTTTGATTTTAGCTTTACGCAAAACTAAACCAAAGTATTTGGGGATTCTAATGTTCCATTTCTACAGTAAAGGAGGAAGGTGAGCACTCTGGAGACAGACAAAAAGGCTTGACTCAAGTCCTTGAAGGGATGAGCAGGCCTGGGGCCCATCCTCAACCGGGGACGCCGTTGCTAGGCAACCCCTCAGTCCTCAACCGCCGCCCCAGAGCCCCTTCCCCGCCTTCGTTGCCAGGGAGATCGACGCTCCAACTCAGCCCTGCCGTAAACCCGCGCGCTCTTGCGACACCGCCGCACCCGCCGCTGCGTGCGCGCCCTCTGCCCCCATCTCCACTCTCCGCCCCGGCCGCCATTGCCTCGTGCCCGCGCCGGTCGGTTGGTGGCGCCTTTGTCCTACGGCGGGCAGGTGGGCTGAGGCGGAGGGGGCAGCGGCGGGCCTGAGGCGAAGGAACGGCCGGGAGCCCACCGCACTGGTAGCGGTGAGTGCCGGGAAGCGGTAGCCATCCGCCTAGGCTTAGAGCTGAGGGGCAGGCGGTTGAGGGGAGGTTGCGGCGGGAGGGCCCGCTTGACGCGCGGCCGCGGCCTCTCCTCTTCGGGAGCGCGCGGGGCTGCGCATGCCCGGTGTGGGGCGCGGCCGCCTCCGGCTCCCGTCAGGCCCAGGCCGGGCGGGCTGGCCGGCGGTGGGCTGTGGTCGGCGGCTAGGAGCCGCAGCCGCCTGTGTGTCGCGAACCGTCGCTTAGCGCCCCAGCTTCTCTCGGGATGGGGCCGCATGCCCCGCGCCCCCTTGTCGAATCGGCGAAGGCGCGCGCTCGCCTGCGGGCTCTCCGCGGTCGGCGGCGCAGCCGGGCTTCGAACCCGGGCCGAGGCGGCGCGGCCCGGCGGGCGTTCTCCCGGGCGTGCGGCGCTCACGGCGTTCGGAGCGCTGTCCCGCGTCGCCGCTGCCGGGCGGCCCCTGGCTGCATCCTCCAGGCGTCTCCCTGTCGTGTGTCAATCTGCCCCTTTGGTAGCCCTGGACCCTGGGCCCAGAGTCCCGGAGAAGAGCGACCGCGGCTGCTGGCTTTCCAGGGTCCTGACGCGGGCTCCTCCCGCTCCCCGGGGCGGCAGGGGCCCCTCGTGGCGCGGAGCCCCCAGCTGGAGTCCGCCCTGCGCCTTTATGTCCGCGTGTGCCATCCGTACCGTGTACCGAATGTTAATTTTTTCCCTTTAAACTGACCCCCCCCAACCTTGAGTATATTTTGTTTAAGGCGGAAATTTCAATCCCAAACCGTATAATGGACAGCCAGTTATTTTCCTAATGCTCATAAAAAAATAAATACCTGTCTATTAAAATAAAGAGTGCGTCCTTGTTCCTCCGAAGTTATTCTGCGTTCCACGCTTTGGGAAACGCTGCCCTAGGAGCACGGGGTTCATTGTCGTCCTTCGGGCTTTCATTCTGTGCACATGACAGGTCCCATGAAATCCCTGGGACCTCTCAGTGTCAACTGTTCTCTGTTCTTACAAGGAACTGCAAGAACTGTCTGCTCGAATGCATTCGATGTGCCTCCTCTGTTTTCTTACAGCATTGTGATGTGGTAGTCACCTGACAATTCATAAAAAGATGTTTCTGCAAACGCTGATGGAGCTTTCTTGGGTTTTGACAACTCTGGATTTAATGTTTTCTGTATGAGTCAGAGTGTGAAAACTAACTTTATGTCAACTTTTTGGAATCAGTAAAATGCAAGCTTTGCACTGTGGAGATTGGAGATCAGTTGGCTCTTATTTGTTAATCTCAGTTTCTTCCTTCATTCAGGTTTTTGTTTGTTTGCCTTTCTTTTTGTTCATCTGCCACCCTCCAGATATTTCTTAAAATATTTCTGGCGTATTCTCTTAATCTAAAACAAACACTGTTTTTTTCCTTGTAAAACGTGCTAGAGGAACCATATTGCCAAGGCACAGTGGAAGGAGTTTTTCTGGTTGCAGACTGCTCAGTGTTGCATGCCTGTGATCAACACGTATGTAAAAGAGGCATTGACAGATATTATAAGTTAATAGTCTGTTCCTAAGCTCTGTATTTTTAAGTGAGGGCACATCTACTTAATTAATTCAAAGGAAAAGAAAAGTCAGCTTGGGCCATTCAAGTCCCCCCACCCACTCGAGTTCTGTTTAAAAAAAAAATCCATATTCTTTAGGAGTTTCCTTGGTATGATCACAATGTAGAGTTCAACATAAGGGCTGATCATGTTCAAATTTCTAGGCATCAGTTCTGTGTAGAAAAGAAAGGAGAATTTAATATTGCCAGGGAGTCAGTTTCAGAACTTCAGCACATGTAACTTCAACTATGTACTCAAGCTAAAAATACACATCTTTTGGAAAGGTTTTGAAGTCTCATGAGAAAAGGTTTGATGGTTTGAAACTTCATTTTAAATAACCATTGCAAGCATTCCATGTGTGTGGCCTGCAGATGGCAGTGCCTTTGTAACCTTGTTACTACTATGAGGATTATTGGAATTTAGTTGTGCTTTTAAGAATGGAAAACCTTATAAAAGAAAAAAAAAAAAGGAAAACCTTTGGAGGAAATATATTTAACTTTTTATTCCCCTCAGTTTATGCTGTTCTTTTGTTTCTTTACTCCCCATCTGAAGCATATAACCTCTTTTTCTAAACTCACTGCTACTCTTAGTAGTAATGGTAACATATATCTAGCAGTGCATATGGCAAGTATCAGTTCATTTGCCCCTGCCAATCATTTTGTGAGATAGACAGACTGGTGTTATTATTTATTTATTTATTTATTTATTTATTTATTTATTTTGCATGTAAGGAAAGAATAGCTCAAACATATTATTTTACCCAAGATCACATATTTAGCAGAATGGTGGAACTAGCTCATTCCTGTAATCCTAAATACTTGGGAGGCTAATGCAGGAGGATCAAAAGTTCGTGGCCAGCCTGATAACTCAGCAAGACCCTGTCTTAAAAAATAAAAGGGACTGGGGTATAACTCAGTGATAAAGCCCCCTGGGTGCAATCCCCCCCACCAAAAAAAAAAAAAAAAAAAACTGAAAACACTGTTGTTGAAGATAAAAGATTTCCTAGTCAAGCAATTTGGGAAATGTTAAGGTATTCCAGAACTTGTCAGAGGCTGTTGTGTGCTAAGCATGTGCCATGTAGATGTCCAAGAGGGGATGGTTTCATCATGCCTTTCTCACAATCCTCCCACAAACATCTTGAGGTCATAGTGTTCCCCACAACTGACTACTTTATATTGTGCTTGTTGCCTCTTTGTAGCTTGAAGTTTACTAATGATTGCCGTGAGTCTTCAAGATAAATACTTATAAAGTTCAGTGTCAAATTTTTTATGCCAAATGATTAGTCTAGTGAACACCATGCACATTTTTTAGACTATTCTGCTTAAGCAGAGTTAACCGGTCAAGGGGTTAAAAGGGCAATACCCTTTTAACTTATGTTTATTAATGAATGGATCAGGATAAGGCTTCTGTCTGAAGCAGAACACATTAAGGAAATATGGAGTATACTGACAACTTAATATATAATACAGCATGCCTGCTGCTTTTTAAATGGTAGTTTTATTACCACCAGATCTGAATATTTATAGGGATCAGATGGTCATTTTCATTCTTCATTCTATCACTAAAATTTAAGCACTAATATAGGTCATCTGAACCAGTTACTTTAATGTTGAAATAATTTCCCTTGTAAGAATCAGAACTTCTCCAGACCCATAGGACTGAACTCATTTCCCCTTATTTCATGTTAAGAACACTGTTGACTTATATAAAAGGACTAGGAAACTGCAAACAAGAATCAGCTCAGCTTATGTTGCAAGGTATTACATCTTTAGCTTTAGTGGATTTTACAATCTTTAGCTTTAGAGCCTGGTTTGGCTCTATGGTGATTAAAATACTAAAGATTAGGCTGATCCTGCAGTTAGTGGACAAAATATTGAGAACTTTGAACTATAAGTATTTTGACTTTGAGTATACTTCATTATATAATTGGATAAGAAAGTAATAACATGTATTTCAGATGATATGTTTATTTTTAATCTTTCTTCTAAAATTAATTTTGGTATCCAAAGAAAAAATTAGGAAAACAGTATTTTAATAAAATTTTAAAACTATTGGAACTATAAATGCAAGCTTTGGGAAACTTTATAAGATTTATTGGACTGGGGTTGTGACTCAGTGGTAGAGCGCTTAACTAGCATGTATAAGGCACTGGGTTCAGTTCTCAGCACCACATAAAAATAAGTAAACAAAGGTTTATCAATGACTAAATAAAAAAATTAAAAGACAACATCAAAATCTGATCCCTGGGCTGAGGACATACTTTGATAGAGCTCTTGCTTAGCATGCATGAGGGCCTGGGTTCAATCCCCAGCACCCTCACCCCCAACCCCAAGGAAAAAAATCTGATTCCAGAAAACTGCCTCAGAGTCACCAGAACAACATGTTGGAGACAGATTCTTGGATGTAGTTCCTTCTCCCCAACTCCTAACTGACTGGAGGTAGGGCCCCAGGAATCCATCTTTCAAAACCCACCCTGGAAGAAGATTTATGTATCTTGCAGTTGGAGAATCCCCAATATAGTACTTTTTTAAAAAACCAAGTTTTCACTGGAAAAAGGAGGTTAAAACAGATTCTAGGACTAATCTGATAATATCCCAGATTACTAATTGGCATTGACAACTGTGGTTTATGGTTAGGTTTGCTTTAAGAGCTTGACCATAAAATGTTTTTGGCTTCATAGTTTGAACTAGATGACTTCTTGGCCTTTTGGATAAGATCAAGTGTGTAGTTTAAACTACAGATAATAGAATATTTAGAATATCTGTGAAGCTTTAAATGTTTTAATTCCTTCCCTTCATAGTATTAGAGTGGTTTCACCTTTTTCAGAACAAAGAAAGTGTATCTACCAAAACCCTGTGGTATGCTTATCAACTTTAAATTTTTTTCAAACACTTTATGTTTAATGGTGCAGATGTGAAATTATACGTATGGCCTTTTTTTCCCTTTTTGCCAAGAGTTACATTTAGGTATGAAAACAAAATGCCTCAAAGAAGAATCAAAGCTTCTGGCCCCCAGGAGGAAAACCATATTGACAACTCTGGTTTGCAGAATTTCGAGAACTTTAGTTGGCAGTTTGCCCTTCATTAGCCAAAGAAGTAAATAACATGCTATTGAAAAGTGACAATGTCAGTAGCAAGTATATTTCCTGCCTTTTTAAACTAGGTAATTGGAAGAAGAAAAGCTTAACTGTTTGGGATACTTTTTTTAGACGGAATTAAAAGTGGTGGATTGCACACTTGCACACTCCTCCTGTGGAAGGGGCCAGTAGCCATATAATTGCATCATAGTAACTTCAGCACTTTGGAAACTTGGTGATGATTCAGTTTCCTTTGGAGGTAGCATTGTGATTGTGCTTTTTATACTGTTTTCAGTGATTATATTTTTATAGATTTTAGCCATTGTCATGACAT